CCCTGCCCGGCTTCCTAAATGGCCAGGAAGCCAGCTCCATGCTCTTTTGTCACAAGTGACAAGGGAGCATAGAGCCGGCTTCCTGGCCAATCGGGAAGCATGGGCAGCATGTAATGACTCGCTGCCCGGCTTCCTGATGCCGGAAGTTCAGGTATCGGGCTAGGCATTGGAGCATTTGGGTGAGTATGAGTACTCGCCCAAATATTAGTATCGGCATCAATTCCAATACTACTATCTAGGGATGTCCCGATGCCACTTTTTCAGGCCCAAGTACAAGTACTTCCCCTCATGTACTTGCCAATACCAATTACCGATACTTTTTTTTTTGTGTGTTTTTTTTTTATTAAAGGGACAGGTGACTTTAAATGATCCATAGTACAACTACATGTTATGTACTGTGGATCATGAATTAACCTATTCATGTGAATAGGTTAAATCATGATCCATAGTACATAACATGTAGTTGTACTATGGATCCTTTAACCTATTCATGTTAGCAGGGGATCATTGTAAATCTATTACTGCAGTGTACGGGACATGTGTACAGATAGAATAGATATACAATTCTGCACTGCTAACATGAATGGGTGAAATGATCCATAATACAACTACATATTATGTACTATGGGTCATTTAGCCCATTCATGTTAGCAGGGGATAATTGTAAATCTATTGTTGCAGTGCATGATATATGTAGTATATAGTACATGTACATATCGAGTGCACTGCAACAATAGATTTACAATTATCCTCTGCTAACATGAATGGGTTAAATGATCCAAAGTACAGGGCTACATACAGATCATTTAATACATTCATGTTAGTATAATTGTAAATCTAAGGTCTCCTGTGTATAAGCAGTGTGTACCCTATATGTATTACATATAGGGTACACACTGCTTATACACTGGAGACCAAAGATTTACAATTAGTCCCTGCTTTACAATTAGTCGTCGTCATCACCCCCCCACACACACTTGCCATCACTCACTGTACTGCGGCGGGAGACCAGTGATGAGTCAGCGCTGGTCCGGTGGGAGGAGCTCCAGGTGGGGTCCTAATTTAGCTGGCCCAGAGGTGCTGGGCAGCTAAATTAGAACCCCACCTGGAACTCCTCCCGCCGGACCAGCGCTGACTCGCCGCTGCTCTCCGGCACTGAAGGACATCGTCGGCGAAGAGGGCTCCGGTGGGCGGCGCTCTGAGTGGGATCCTCTGGGCAGTCGCCGGCCACCTACATTAGGACCGCACCTGGAGCTCCGCCCACAGCAGTGACGCAACGCTCCTCCGCTCAGCCCACAGCAGTGACGCTCCGCTCAGGTAACGTTAAAAAAAACAACAGCGCAAGCTTCGGCGCTATGCATCGGGGCATTTTGACAAGTACTTGTCAAAATGCCCTGTATCGGGCCCAATTCCGATGCTAGCATCGGTATCGGGACATCCCTACTAGTATCGGTATCGGTGCATCCCATGCTATCTGTTTTCCCATAGATTTTTCAGCGTGTCAAAAAAAATCTCTCCATGCTTCCCTGAGCATTTATGATATAACTTAACTGTTAACCCCTACACAGCCTGAATATCATAGGCTATATTCATATCTGTTGCACTGATTTTTTTTATCAGACCATGTATGACCTACATGTGGAGTTTCAACTGTAAACATGTGTTTGCAGATACCAGGTGATTATGGGATGTGTATTTCTCTGTGATAAAATATAAATTTGAAGTGTTTTGAATCTACCTGCCTGTATACTCATGCTTAATATTGGTGTTTACAGAAAGCTGTGGAAGTGATGTGCTTTGTTCCCAAACGATGCAACGACATGATGAACCTTGGCAGACTGCAAGGGTTTGAGGTATGTGTTTCTTTACTATAAAATAAACGGCATAGACATAACTAAAATTACATTTTCTTGTTTAAGCGCTTTGATTCAGTTTTTTTTTTGAGACGTAGACCTGAAAAAAGCATTCGTTTGCAGTGCTGGGGGACTAGTGCTGCTGTGGAGAGTGAGACTTTACTCTAGGGCTTCCCTCACCCTAACACTTGATGTAACCCCAACCATCAACCTATCCCTTATGTTACCCTAACACTAAACATTTTGTATCTTAACACTCATCCTCCTGTAACCCTACCAATAACCCGCCCTGTAACCTTAACACACCTCAAATAACTTTATCTCTGTCCCTAAAACTAGATTCACAAAGTGTGACAGATGCTTACAGACCGAATGACCTTTTATAAGGATACAAATAATCCTCTGGAGGGTGTCATAAAAAAACTATAAGCATGTTTAGTCTCAAAAAATTAAACATCTCAGCAGGGGATATAAACTATATAACAATCACAAAAGCATTATGAGTTTATGACAAACTCCAGGACAGAAAAACACTCTGCAGGACCCTGTACAATGTATATCAAACAATGTATAGTAATATATAAATCAGTAGCTGGCAGTTATCAAACATCTACACCAAAATAAATATAAATATAAAAATATGAGGCATACTAGGAAAGCTTTCTCCAAATAAGTCGCTCTACATTCCTGATTGCAGGTATATATGCAAATGGGATTCCCACTGTCAGTGTAATGTCAAATGGTTTAGACAGCTATAAGCTCTTCAAAAATGCCAACTGTACAAACACGTTGCATTACTGAGATATCTTTTCCCCCTCAAATTATTAGTAATAAGGATGTCTACTCTGGACAGTTACTTAGGTTGGAACATAGTCAGTAAGGGCATAGCTTACTATACCCAGGTACTGTAAGTGCAACACTTGTTATACGTTTATCAATCCTAATAGCTAACCCATCCATGTGGGCATAACCCACTTTGCCTTATGCTTGCTAAATTCAATTCAAGCAAGGTATTTATAATTCACTGAATGTGGGTGACACATACAACATACCCTCCACAGCCGAGCTCAGCGGTATTACTCAATATGAATATTTCAAACACAGGACTTACATATATAATTTCTATTACTTTGTGAAGCAATAGGTCCATAACGCACTCCTTGCGCAGGTTAGTGGATTATTTAAAAGTGTTCTCAGTCTTAATATCGCAGGCTCGGACCTGCTGGTACAAAAGTATCACAGAGAATTTGAAACTTACAAGTCTCTATGAGGTAACCTCATCCGTGTATTCATAACTGTCACAAAACCCAGACGAGAGAATATGGAAAAAATGCAGTCAATAGCCTTTGATTCCAAATTGATTGAATACTTATTCTTACACATCCGGACCATAGTCAGTGAAGCTTAGACTCCTCTATTCATCATTTTGGTTCTTCATCTTCTGTCCCAACATCCATGATCCACCTTTTCCAGATTTTTTTTAATCTCCCTGTTTAATTGTGGGCTTCCCATTTCTCTGAGAAATGTATAAAGCCTGAAGAAGGGATCTAAGGCATCCTGAATGGTGCATCTTTAATAACGTAAGTTACCCAATAAAGGGTATCAGTTAAACTCCAAGCTTTCTGTATTATTGTAAAACCCAAATTAAAAGGGAAGCTCTTCTGCTGTTCACAACATCTGCTTCGGGCTGTGTCGGCCGTTTTTTTCCAATGGAGCCCGTCATTGATGGTGATGGTTTTCTCCACTGCGTTCTGGTGGTGTGCACTTAAAAAAACTGCAGCAGTACTTTTTTTAAGCTCACCGCAGTGAGACACAGTTAACCACATCGCACCATGGTGAGCCCATAGAACTAAGTGAAATGTCACTTCACTTCAAATGACATTTCAATAAAGATCTAACAAAAAAAACAAAACGAAACATTAGGATGCAGCTTGATTGAGCTCATCGGCACTGTCCTGGCAAGCACACACCAGCAGCCATGCAAACAAGCCCTTAGTGATCAACTAGTTTTACTGAGCCCTCTTTACTTACATTGTTTAAACCACCCTTTAAAGCTGACCTCCAGGCAAATAGCCAAATAAACCAATTGGATATATGTATTTTTGCTGATTTAGCATCTCCAAAAAAAATGGGCTGAAAATCTCGGCTTATACTCGAGTATATACGGTATATGCATTTTTGATTATCCAGTTCAGCTCTGCCACACAGCACAGATAAGCATACATTCTCTGTTACAGTTATGGACTGTAAAAATTATACAGTGGTGTCCTTACTCTGTGCTTACCCTGCTGATAGGACAGTGAAGGAGCAGCAGGAGGCTGATGGCATCATTACTCTGCTCACTCTGCTTTCTCTTCCAATTTCCTTGTCAACATATTTGCATGCAGCATAACTCTTCAGTGCTCCCATGAAGGGAACCTCAGGAAGCTAATACCAAGTGAAATTTAGGTCTTTACACTATTTGTATTTAAAAAATAAATGTAATAATTTATTATTGAATACATACTCATTGATGTATGGTTTATATCTGCCTGAGTTTCAGCTTAAAGTAAAGACTTAACAGCTGTTAACATGTGTTTGTTTTTTGTTTAGGGAAAGATCACAGCTCAGGGGAAGCTTCTCCAGCAAGACACATTTATGGTGATAGAACAAGAGTGCAGTTTCCTGACACGGGGTAAAGAACGCAGGGTCTTCCTCTTCGAGCAGCTCATCATCTTTAGTGAACCCATTGACAGGAAGAAGGGCTTCTCATTGCCTGGGTACATCTTTAAAAACAGCATCAAGGTGAGTGTTGGCTTTACTTTGAAGCCACAATAACTGCAACAAACTATACACTACAATGCTGTCATTATCCAGTGATTATCTGTTAGCTTACCTTTTCTAACCCAACACTAAAATAACTCATGGAATCTTATTACTTGTTTTCTTTACATAATAGGCTTTAAACAAATGATTCTAATGCACATTCCATATAATTGGAAAGGTAAATTACAGATTTTAAGTTTTGAGAAACGCCAATAAGTTAAAATATGCATTCATTACAAATTATTCCATGTGTTAGGAAAAAGCTAATACGACTTCCTGGAATCTGTTTCATGCTCTCTTCCCCAAATCCCCTGCAGACATCAGACTGGGAGTGGGAGTGGAAGCTTTTACATTGTGTGTGAATCAGGTTGAGTTGCATTACACAATGCTATGGGTTTATTATATTTTCAGGCACTGGGAAGTGGAGAGGTATTTTTAGGCACCTTACAGGAGGAGGAAAGAAAACAGAGGACCTTTACAGTCTGATAATGTTCATTCATAATCCAATTAGCAGAACCACTACTGCTTGAGAACAGAATTATAAATCTTTTGGCTGGTGAAACAGCTGTCACACATTTATTACAATTGTGAATACCTAACTGTTTGGACGGAGCTTTATTTTTCATCTCTGTTGCAAGGAATAAGATGTGATATGATCTGTCCTCTCAGGACTGGGGAACCAGCCAACAGACTGGAGTCTAAAGGTTACCGTCAAGTGAGGTGGTTTAATATTTAGTATTGAAGATCCTGATCTGTTTATCACCAGGAAAGAAGTGGGATCTTCCCAGATTTCTTAGCAATTCATGCCCAATAGTGTTTTTATAGGTGGGGGGAATTAGTGGAAGACTTGCCTACAAATCTCCAAGGCAGACAGCTAATGCAGTGTACTGTATTCTGTTGACACTGCTAGAGTTGTCTGCAATACACAATGTGTTAAAGAAACTGCCTGGGGACTTGTACTAGGCTTCCATCTCTTCCAGGCTGTTACAAATAAAGTAAATGAGCCATCTGAAAGTGATATTTTGGTTTTAGCTGGGGCCTGTTGTCACTCTCTAGATTCATATTTGTCTTAAATAATAAAGCTGTGAGATATCCTTGCTCTAATTCCCAACTCTGCTCCTGTTCACCTAGAAGTTTGGATGTTACCACCCACCTTTTCTTAGCAGCATCTTCTGTTGCATTCCCTACAATATAAATGAATAGTGACACTAAACTCTGGAGTTAAATCTTAAAATCGCATTCACATACCCAAACTATTAACAAAAATGTAGCTTATTTGTGCCTCATTCAGTTGTATATCCTCAGTCATCTTTGAGTTCATGCTGACACTGTCCTTCCTGCTGGAGGCTGGCTACTTTTGTTCCCCATGGTCCTTGTGTGTGTTGTAAAGTAGCCACAGCTCCAAGCTTGCTCCCATGATAGACTATAATCTCACCTTTAGTTTACTAATTTGTATTAAACCTATAGTCTATCACGGGAGTGAGTTTGGAGCGGTGACTACCTTACTACACACACCATGGGGAAACAAATTAGCCACTCTCCAGTAGTAAGGATGATCTGAGGATCTACAGCCGAGTGAAACACAGATAAGATACATTTTTGTTACTATTTAAGGTATTTGAATGCACTTTAAGATTTAAAGTGACATTAAACCCTCAGATTTTTTAACATAAACCAATACTGTAATGTGTGCCTTACTGTAATCCATGGTTGTTTGCCTTCTCTTTGCTGCTCTTCCTTTTAAATCCGTATCTCTTCTCATGCTTGGGGAGAACGTCCCTTTGCAGCTGAGTGCCTCTTCCTGTAGTGCTGGCTCAGGCTGTGAACCTTCACACAGACACCATGTATCCATTCCAGAGACAAGGCAGTCTGCTGCACAACAGAAGTTCTGCCCAGCATGAGAAGAGATACAGATTTAAAAGGAAGAGCAGCAAAGAGAAGGGAAACAACCATGGATTACAGTAAGGCACACATTACAGTATTGGTATATGTTAAAAAATCTGAGGGTTTAATGTCACTTTAACTCCTGAGTTTAGCGTCACTTTAAAGACAAAATCTAGCCAATAGAATGGGACCACCATATTATGGCCACAGCAGATATGCAAACGCAGGATTTCAAGCATAAGAGCCAATCCCACTGGGGTTTTCCAGTGATGTTTGGATGGTTTTACTCTCCAGTGTCTTCCAAATAGTGAGATTTAAATTTTGGATGGACTGACCATTAAGAATTCAAGCACATACTCCTTAGGGTCTGTTGGCTAAATTGTAAATTCTATGCTCATTTCTCATGATGATCCTTGAGGAAAACATGACACTGTGGCAGAACTACACAAAGTACAGCTGTGAATGGGGCCTGGGTGGAGAGTGTCGTTGCCCATCACAGAAAATAATCTGGAGGTCTTTATTTATGGTTGATGTCTGGGGCATCCTCAGTGATGTCTTCGCAGTAAGGATGACAATGCTGTTGCCTGTTACTCAGAGCTACAGACCTGTTTGTAAGATAGCACATATTATAATTTGCTTGTGTCAGAATAAAGCATGATCTTGCAGCGTTTGGAATTGTTTTCTTGCAAATAACCAAAAACCATGTCTTGCTTTAACCGCCTTGTTTTTATACGAATTGTGCATGCAGGTGTGGACAAGGCTATGTTATTGAATCATTTTCTGTAATGAGTGCCTTGCCAATCCAGCCAAATGATTATCATCCAGTGTTGATCAAACAATACATTATCGCCTACTGCTTCTAAGATCCGATTACTGTTGTGTGTCCTACTGTGCCAACAGTATGCATCAAAGCTATCCAGTGGTGCTGAAGGAAATAGAGTACAGATTTCATTGTGATAAATGAGGAGATATACAGCATGTGTATTAGGATAATAATTACCAGTAAAATGACAGTGGTCTCATGTTATGTGCCTTGTTTGGTTATTGTGAGCTGCTGCAGTACCTGCATGCAGAGAGTTACTCTTTACTTATCTCTTAGGGATGTTTGCAATGGGAGACTGCTGGATAAAATTGCATTAGGTATTACGATTAGTATGTTGCCTGGAACCTGGAGAAGCAAGATGTTATCTAAGACAGGTTATAAACCACAAATGCTACAGAACACATGTTTTCTTTCAAACAGCATACCCAGATAACAAAAACTACATAATATTGGGTACTGTGTGATTAGCCAAGGCAGAATTCTGTCAAGTAAGTGACAGCATGTTTTTTTTAAAGTGGAGTTATCATTAAATTCATACTTCACATGAATCAATAGGGCACATGTTAGCATTACCCCAAAACATTATTATGCCAGTACCCCAGCCTAGGCACCCTACACTTACCTCTCAGCGCCGCTTGTCACCACTGCCAATCCTCGAAGCAATCTTCTGTCCCGAACTTCCTTGTTGCGGGGGAGGAGACTGAGGGCAGAGGAGCCATATTATCCTTCTGCCATCAATCAACCTATTGGGCGGAGAAGGGGGCGTGTGTGTCTATGGACGCGCACGGCCGGGAACATGCACGCACATATGCCTCCACAGCCGTCACTTAGCTGATGGCGGCACCTGTGAACGGGGCGGGGGAAGAGCTATGGAGGGGCCCACTAGAGAATGAGGAACTGAACATTTTTAATTAAAAAAAAGTATTTTTATAAGTATGGGCCTATTATTTAAAAAATAAATAAATGCAGCTTTGATATCACTTTAAACATTTTTTGACTTCAAACAAGTATGCAGATTGGGAGTTCTGATTTTACTTGCTGCATACTTGTTTCGGGTCTATGACACCGAAGAGGACTGAAGCCAGAGACAACCAACCAAATAGCATTTTCGCAAACAAGATGGCAATGGCAGCCAACGTATTTCTTCGAGCTCAGGTTTCCTTAAAATGTGGGGTAAAGCGGAACTTACAGTGCAATTCAAGGTCCATATATGCTGTCCAAGGCTCCTCCCCCTGTATACATTTGCTGCTGATTGTAGTTCCAAAAGTTAACTGTAAAGAAAAACATTAGTGATGCAGAAGATGGTTAGAAGGTGAATATAACATCTAAGATTAGTTCAATAATGCCACAGGCAGCTTTAAACTTTCACAGGTCTGCCTAATCAGAAAACAAATACTGCACAGCTAAAATACTGCACAGCTTTGCCCTTGGATGTGAAGGGTACCAATTTTTTCTAGTATCTTTCCTAAACCTTATTCGCTCTTAGAATGTTAACCTTTACTGTCCTGCTTTTCAGCCTTATCTCTACTAGACAGTGACAGGCCCACTTTTAATGCTGAGTGTCATTTAGTATTTCCCAGGTCTATTTCAGATTTGAACTGAGTAGACATAATACATTTACTGTACATTTAAAAATAGTGTTTATTAACTTCACGTGCCTATTAATTCATATTTATGGACACATGACCTGCCGTGTAACGGTGTATTTATTAGGAGAAAGAACAAATAAACCAGCTCGTTGAAACAATAACTATATTATTGTGCCTCTAATTACAGACATCTTGGCCAGACTAGAAGCTCTTCTAGCGATTTGTAACATATCCAGGTTAACAACTGGTTCTTTATGCAGAAGTTGCACAACATTGGCGTACTATTTTGATGGTAGAATTTTTGCTTTTTTTCGTATAGAAAAGTTGCTTGCAAAGGGGATTTCACTACCTGCTCTGGCTCCCTGTGCTGCACCCAAAGGGACAAGGAGGTCCATCAGTTGAGAGGGAAAGCCAAGGAGATGCAAGTGTTAAGGGTGGAAGAGGGTCTTTCTTCCACTGCTGACCATCTAGGCCCCCTTGTGTAGTCATTACAACCCAATGCATATGTTGAACCATTTAAAGTTTAATAGTTTGTGACCAATATTCTTCATTTTTTTTTTATTTTAGAGTTTACAAACCAATGGTTTATATCATTTTTATTTGCCTCAAAACTATAGTTTATAAACAGACTTTTGCACGTTCTTGACACTCAATGTACAAAGCAGAGGTTAGAATTTCCTGCATGTTTGTTGACAGTCTGTATTACAGATTAATTGAGATGTCATGTACAACACACAGCTGTTATCTGAGCTTACATAAAGCTGCTGCTTTTGCTGGGTTCTCAGCACGTGTTGCATGAAAGTGCTAAATATGCATTACACATGTGCAATATTTCACACATATTTGGTACCAAATATATTTTAGAATTTTATTTGACCTAGTACTGAATA